TCCTTCCTCGCGTTTTGCTCAAGGACAGTTGAAGGAGACTTTGTTTGGGGGGGCTGGGTCCCTGTGGGACAGGCAGCTTAGTGGGCAAGTCCTCTTTCTTTTAAGAGCCAACTTGTGTGTTTTCTTGACAGGATTGTGTGGTGCAGGAGGGGGGGGGGGGGGTGTCTGCTGCCAAATGTTGGTTTGGCCGACTCCATCTAGAAAATATCAAAAGGCTCTTTTATGAGGTGCTGTAAATAAGAAAGGGTGTTTTGAGAGGATACAGGCTGATCCCACCTGCTGCCTTTCCTGCTCTGCACTGCTTGCACACTTTCTCCGAGCAAGCTGTGGATTAAGAAGTGTGTGTGTGTGTGTTTTGGCTCCATGTCATATTTTGTCCATTTCAAAAGTATGCCACACATTCCAATACCACAAATTCAGATCATACGCATCATGTGGGTCCACGCATGTGTCCGTCTCTCTCTGTGCTCCATGACGTTCTGCTGTAGCTGACAGAAGGGTGTGAATTCCTAGAGGCGTGTGCGTCTGTTAATGTCTCACTTCTCACCACTCCTCGCCAGCTCTATGCGTGTTTCCACCAATCCAAACCTGAGCAGTCTCCTGGTCGACAGACCGGTCTTATCGTAGACCTCGTCTTAAAAGACAGCTCAGCGGGGCCCCTTTTACAGGCGTGTGAGTGAATATATGTGTGTGTCCAGGTAATGAGCATTCTGACAGCTGTTGAAAGGTGTTGCTACTGCTCAGCACCTTTTTAATGAAAGCATCCCCCTCCCTCCTTGCTCAACACACACACACATTCCTTCCAGCGTTCAACACCATATAGACCATTTCTTTCTCAGTGGTAGGGAGGTTACGTTGTCCGTGCTTGTGTAACTCAACACACTAGAGACTTGACAGACCTCCCATTTCAAAGCCTTCAGGTGAGTCAAGTGTGTGCGCAACGGTGCTTGAACCAAGCTGATCGGCAGCAGTAACAGTAAACAGGGGCACATGTACAACGGCGTAACAGCGAAGGACACAGAAAGGTTGCTCGGAAAGTAGTGACGGAGATCCTCCGGAAAGACCGTCAAGAGGAAGGAAACGAGTCTGCTGTTTGGGACCTCGTCACAGAAGCCTCAGAGAGATGGCAGGAAGACGTGGGCAGAGAGAGAGAGAGAGAGTCAAACTCGCTGGCACTGCTGACGAGGGTGTGGTACTTTCTTTTCCTCTTTTTCACGGAGCCCACTTCTTCATAGAAACCTTTCAGCGGGTTTCTGGTGACTCGGTAGAGCCGCCCGTGGCGCTGGAGCCTCTGCCACGGGGTAGAGGGCCAACGGCGCGCCCCCCACCCCTCCCACAAAGGCCCCTCCTAGTGTGCCAGCTAGTCTTCCAGCCCACTGTTCACCACCCTCGCTCAATCTGCTCCCCTTCTGCTACTGCTGTCTGCCCAGTGGCCACCCCGCCTTTCACAGTGAGCCCTACTGTGTGCCTCCGTCTCCGTCTCACACACTGCCTTCAAGTCTCACACACTCTTTTACTGCTCAGCGCGTTTGACAAGAACACGCAAACCGTACAGGCCGTTTAATGTAGGTGGAGATGGCCACAAAGGCCGCACAACATGCCAGTGCTTGCAGTTTAACACAGACAAAAAAAGAGGCTTGCACACAATGAGTCCTGCATTTGCCAATCAAATAGAGGCTGCAGAGTAGGCCGGGCAGCTGGCTGGAGTTGCGTGCACGCAACACAAACGCACAAGTCTGTCTGTGCCACTCACTGGTGTGCTTCGCTGTATTGGCAGTGTCCTCAAACAGCCCCTGCATTCGTGTGTCACATGCCAAGACCAGATCCTCGCTGCAGATTTGATCGCAACCAACAAGTCACGTAGACAAAATCTGCAAGCCCTTTTGTGAAAGAACACTTGTAACCTTGCCAGAATGTCATACGCCGCTCAGTTAAAAGCAGTGTGTTGCAACACGGATCCCAAACTGCGTAGTCGCAGCCTTTTTTCTCGCATACATTAGATACACTCCCCTCGACAGTTGGGTGAACAACAGGCAGCTTCAGTGTTACTCAAAAGTCTCCTTTTTTTAATCTTTTTCAAATCTATTTTTCTCTCCCATTGTATCTGTTGAATCTAAAGGGACGTCAAATGGCCCAGTCGACCTGACCTAGAATTTAATGCAATTGACCCAGTTGAAGTCACCTTCAGCTAAATGGCTATTTCTGTCGTGCGCAGTTACAGTTCATCTAATGAGGTTGTTGAGAATGATGTACTGCGCATCCCACTCATGCTGGAGCACTTTAATGAAATGCAGGGGAGGCCGGATTGTTGTTGTGCGTTTGCCCGTTTGTAGCCAGTGAATCGTATCGGTGTGTATTGGCCCGAAGGATTAGGCCCGGTCAGTGCAGCTGGGCCACTTGTGCGCAGAGAGTATTGAGAGAAGGGATTAGGGAGTAAACTGATACTTAGCAGGAAACGAACAGAGGCTACTGGTAACCATCCCTCCTCCCCGGCCTCTCTTATCCTCTTGTCCTCCCCCAACAACAGCAGCCACCCACCTATCCCGGTCATCTCATCTCATCCGTCCGTCATCGACTCGCAGCCCTCGGCCGGCGGATTGTCATGCAAATGGGGCCCCGGGCCTCGGAGCGCTGATAAGGAGGGCCTCTCATTTCACAGGGCTTTGTTTTCTAAACAGTGATGAGCTGAGTTGAGGAGACTGGGGGGCTGCCTGAAAGGGCCCTCACTGTGGCCCTGGGGTAAGTGGTGCAGCGGATTTGGATGGAGCAGGCTGAACCAGGCAAAGTCCGGGAGGCGGGTTGGGGAGTCATGTTCTCTGCCAGGGCCCAACGAGCTGATGGAGCCTGATGGTAGTTTCTCCCTCATCGCTGTCCCGAGTTTTCTCCGGGACGGCCTTTCTCTCGTTGGCCCGCTTTCTTCCTCCATTTAGACGGCGTCAGTCAATGTTTGTTACTTGACGCCACACATGGTTTGTCCTTTTTCTGACGGGGTTGTCAGCACTCGGTCTGGAGCCTCATTTGCTGCTGTTATTATTGCATAAACATGGAGGTTCATGGCACGTTCAGAGGGTTTCTGCTCTCCCTCTGACCCTGCTGCTTTGTTATACTCTGGCCAGGGAGATATGAAAACTGCTGTAGAAACATTTTAACGGGTGTAAACTTCAGGTTTTAGATTGATTTGCACATTTGGCTGTGGTGCTGCTGCTTAAACTAATGGAAAACATATTTGCCTCCAGCAAAGTAAAGCTTTCAAAGGAAGAATTGGTATGCGGAATGTGGAATAGTGAAATATAAAAATGCATATGAAAAACAGATGTTTGGGCAGCAGACGGCAAAGGGGGAGAAAGGTTTTCTGTTACTATCATTAATGAGGTAGTAGCTGGGCAGCTGTGGAAGCAGGGGCAGTAATTGGTCAGTTTGGTCTTGAACAAGACTTGCCCTCAGGAGCAACTGCGTGCCCCCCGACCCCCTCGGCCCCTTTCTGTTTTTTTTTATTTTTTTTTATCAAATTCCTCTTTCTGTTCCCTCTTTTCTTCTTTTTGAAGTCTCCCCTTTCTTGTAAAAATCCGAGCTGGTGGTTCTTGCTTCAGCCCTGGGTGTCAGAGGGGATGGAGAGGGGGGGGTGCAGGGGGGAGGGGGGTGTAGGTTAAGTTGAGGCGAACCCTCTGTGCTTCCCATTGAAGGTGAGGGAGGGAGGTGGGGGGCAGTAAAAGCCAGAATTTTAGAGCCTCCCTGTTTTTTATTTTATGATTGGCTTTTTTTACGGGTTGGGAGCTACAGCTGGCGGTGTGAATAGCTGCCCAAGGTGACCGAGTCCCAATAAAGTGTAGGCCAGCCGGAATGGGGCCTCCAGTCCAGCCATGGGACCGCCTTTATAGGCCGCCTTACGAGCCTCGGCCTCTATTAAAACCTGGCAGGGCTGCACTGAGGAATTTAGGGCCAGGAAACAAGAGAAAAATAGGGTTTGTGTGTCAGGGGCTGGTGGGATGCAGTTTTGGGGGTTGAGGTTTGAGGGTAACTAAGGGTGAAAGTTGAAAGAGGTGTTGCTGGGTAAATGAATGTTAAAGTGTGCAGCGTATGGATTCCATACTGTCCCCGGAGCAACATGTGTGCCGGTGAGCCTGTGCAGGCTAGCATGTGTGACGAGGGTGTGTGTGTGTGTGTGTGTGTGTGTGTGTGTGTGTGTGTGTGTGTGTGTGTGTACACCGCGGCTTATGTTCCTCTGGGGAAGTGTGGAATACATACGCTGCACGATTAAGCATCCAAGGGAGCCTGTATGTTTTTCCCTTTTTTGGAATCTATCAAAGTGTAAAGCACCTCAGCAAATACGTGACTCGCGGTCGCACTGACGTAACAGCTGTGTTCCAGTATAAAAGGTGGAAGGAGAGCTTTGTGTGCGCGTGTGTTTGACATTTGTTTACTCTCTGCGTGCAAGATGTCATCACGAGTCTGCGGAATGAGGAAGAGCCGGCTTTGACTCTTGGCTGCATGGGCTCACTCTGTTAACCGGGCTTATCAGACAAGCTGTCTATCAACAACGTTCTTTCTTACTGCAGTAAAACATAGTTTTGTCATTGCTGTCAGGTGATTCAGTCCTTCTTTCCTTTTGTTTCTCTGCTCACCAAACACGCACCTGACTGCCGCCCTTCGAGGGGGTAATTGGTGCCTGGATACAGAAAGTTGCTCTGTAATAATCCTCTTTCTCGCTTATCTTATCGATCGAGAAAGTCGAGATAGAGAGCATTATGTGGTAATGTATCTCAATCCACCTCTAGGCCAAATTTTATCGTTACTGAGCATCCCTCTCTGGCAACACAAATCAAACGGAAAAAGGAAATGCTGTCGGCTGCCATATCATGTTTCGAATGCAGTTGAAAACACTCGGTTATCAACTACATTCATTGACAAGTTCTCATTTGACATTTCTGACAGGAGTATGTGACTCACCGTGTGCTCATGTGCGCCGCTGTCTTTTTTCTTCTTCTTCTTCTTCCCCATAGCGGTGGAGACCCAGAGCACCAGCTCAGAGGAGATGGTACCCAGTTCTCCGTCTCCACCTCCCCCACCTCGTGTCTACAAGCCCTGCTTTGTGTGCCAGGACAAGTCTTCGGGGTACCACTACGGGGTCAGCTCCTGTGAGGGCTGCAAGGTGAGAAGAACCTGCCAGAACCTTTTAAGATCAGCTTTGTGATGTTTTATTTTTATATGTATTTTATTTACATATAGAAAAAATGCTGTGTTGCAAAAAATGTGACCTTGGGCTTCATAGGCAGTTTGTAGCCACTAGTGTGAGATTGTAGTGAATGTAAATGAGGGAATAACAACAAGACGTAGAAATAGAACGCGAAAACACTCAAATTTAAAAGGCTACAGTTTTGCGCTTTTAATTTAGGTTCGAAAAAAAGCGAGGAAAGCCGTGATTCTTATGAAGGAGAAGTTAAATAACACATCCTAGATGTGGTTAGCAACACACAATGGTCTCACGCCTTTGTCTCTTGCTTCCTGGTGCACCAGGGTTTCTTCCGACGCAGTATCCAGAAGAACATGGTGTACACCTGCCACAGAGACAAGAACTGTCAGATCAACAAGGTCACACGCAACCGCTGCCAGTACTGCAGGCTGCAGAAGTGCTTTGAGGTCGGCATGTCCAAGGAAGGTGAGTCCCACAGGACTGGAGTCCCAAGAGACGGAGAGACCACCTTCCACAACATGGTTATTCACTCACATGTGAATATCCACAGACGCACAAACACACAGACTCACAAACAGTGTTTTTCACTCGTAGATCGACACACAGCACGCCATAACGCGTAGTTTGGAGACATCAGCAAGAAGTTGATGTCTAAATTCTACTTGGATCAGATTGTTTTACCACAAAGGGGAATGGCTTGACCTGATTCACACAGTGTGGATGTGTTGATCTACAAATGGTGTTCATTGAGGGACTCTGGGGAAACTATGCAGCAGACAGGCAGAAGCAGATGACGAGCGTGACAGGGGTGGTGATCGGGGCGAGGCTGGGCGCTGTGCCAATCACATGACTAATCCCTTTACGAAATTATTTCTGCCTTCCTGTTTCACAACAGAACCTCGCCCTTCTGGCCAGCAGAGACACTGCTTTCATTCATCAGAAAACCAGATTTCCAGTTTTGACACAGCTAATCGTGTCAGAATTCATCTAGCGTGCCGAAATCAAACGCACGGTTATGATCTGTTCAGCTTGACCTCGTTTGCCGCTTTGTGCGTGTGTAAGTGGCAGCTTCTTGCCCTTCACTGAGCCCATGGGACATGCATGTGGGTGTAATGTTTGTGTGGGATGTGTGTTAAGACCGGGATCACATTGTGCCTCTGCTATTACTGGATATCCTGACAGGAAGGAAAGTCGGGGAGGAGGAGGGGGAGGGGGAGGGGGAGGAGGAGGAGGAGAGTGGAGGACTGGCTTACGTGCACCGGTCAAGTGGATAGAGAGATGGACGAGGAAGAGAGCGGGTGATAAGAAAGAGATAGCCAGTGTCCGTCCCGTGCTAAAGGAAATATGTTAATACTGTTAAGAGCAAAGCTCCGTTGCAACGCAGTTCTTTTCCACTGGTGAACCCAAGGGCCTTGACAGTTGTGAAAGACACAGATTATGAGAGCTGTGGATGTTTTAACGTTGCAGATAAACAAGAGGAACATAGCTGATGTGTGTTTCATCTTGTTTTTCTTTAAAAAAAAAAAGCCGTGCGCAATGACAGAAACAAGAAGAAGAAGGATGTGAAGGAGGAGTTGGTGCTTCCAGAGAGCTATGAGCTAAGTGGAGAACTCGAGGAGTTGGTCAATAAAGTCAGCAAAGCTCACAAAGAAACCTTCCCCTCACTTGGGCAATTGGGCAAATATACTACAGTAAGTGACAACCACACACACACACACACACACACACACACACACTCACTAGACACCACTGCTCACTCATACTATGTGTGGCAACAATACTTTCAAATATTCCGTCACTCACAGAACACACCGTAGCTTTCCCAACATAGAGGCGGTTTTACTAATTCAGTTCCCCATTAAGCCATCTGTGTGGCCTCTGAGTGATTGATGCAACATGTAAATGGATTTTTCTTTTTTCCCTGATTGATGTGTAGTAGTGAAAATGTAAATGTGCTCGGACATGCTGGTCCCACAGGGCGCACGGGGCTGCACGCCACCTCTGTAACAAAATACTGCTCTCTGTGTGTTCAGAACTCCAGCTCAGACACCCGGGTCCAGCTGGATCTGGGTTTGTGGGACAAGTTCAGTGAGCTCTCCACCAAATGCATCATCAAGATCGTGGAATTTGCCAAACGGCTGCCAGGTTTCACCACCCTCACCATCGCTGACCAGATCACTCTGCTGAAGTCTGCCTGTCTGGACATACTGGTGAGGAGCCGATGCCTTTTGTCCTCTTCACCTGCTCACAAAATCAACTTACTTGATTGGCGAGGGAACACCTGCACCTGGTGGCGAGAAGTGATAGTGCAGGGAGGTTTTCCTGAATAATGTTAATCCTCGGTGTGAAAGTAGTTATGCACACTTGACACTCTGAGCCAACATCGATATGGAGTTGAGCTGCTGCCATCAGTGTGTGCTGAGGAAAACCGTGTTAAATCCCTGTTACGTCACATTTTTGATATAAGTTTTCCACCTTCTGGTCCTCACAGATGCTGAGGATCTGCACACGCTACACTCCAGAGCAGGACACTATGACCTTCTCAGACGGCCTGACTCTGAACCGGACCCAGATGCACAACGCCGGTTTTGGACCTCTCACAGACCTGGTGTTTGCCTTTGCCGGCCAGCTTCTACCCCTGGAGATGGACGACACAGAGACCGGCCTCCTGAGCGCCATCTGCCTCATCTGTGGAGGTACTGCAGTGTCAATTGTGAAGGAGGAAGTGGCTTTAGTACATGTTTGTTTCAGCCCACCTGCCACTGCTTTGACAGGATTATTGTTGCACAGAAAATATAAATCTGACTTTTTGATGAGTGCAATTTTCTTAAGTACAACTTTTTTGTGACAATTGTAAATTTCTGGAAAATAATAATGAACACAATGTGTTTTCGGCCCACTTTGTCAGACCGCATGGATCTAGAGGAGCCCCAGAAAGTGGACAAGCTTCAAGAGCCTCTACTTGAGGCTCTGAAGATCTACGCCCGTCGCCGTCGCCCCAACAAACCTCACATGTTTCCACGCATGCTGATGAAGATCACTGACCTCCGGGGCATCAGCACTAAGGGTGAGTTTGAAGACAACAACTCCTCGAACAAATTTCGATTTTGAAAAGATATTTACCACCGTCATAACCGATTCATGGTGCTGACAAAGAAGGCCGAATGAATCTCCACTCGCGGCAGTGTTTCATTTGTGTCCTCTTTTTGGTAATAAGTAACATGATTGTAATCGTCTATCGTCTCCGTGTCCTCTCCTCCCAGGCGCAGAGAGAGCCATCACTCTGAAGATGGAGATCCCGGGGCCAATGCCTCCTTTGATCAGGGAGATGCTCGAGAACCCAGAGGCCTTTGAGGACCAAACAGAGGACAACGAGAGCCCGCCCCCTCCGCCACCGCCACCGCCGCCTGCACCGCCCACGCAGGTCAAGCAGGAGGCCGAGGACGAGGAAGACAGCTGGGCCGCCGAGAACGGCAGCGAGCCATCGCCGGAAGAGGACGAGGATGAGGACGAGGACGCGGGCGATGAAGATCGAGACAGGGGCTCGGACAGTGACGGGGAGCCCTGGGGCGCGCTAGACGCCGCGGACGGGTCGAGGAAGGGCCTCGTTGGGAGGGCGCAGTGAACAGAGCATTTCAGACCTACGCACCCCCATGCACACACAGGCACAAACACACACACACAAACACGTACACGCGCACTCAAACCTGCTTTGAGACAAACGACACAACCTCACTCAGTCTCCCACCTCAACAATAAGCCGGCCTTCCCTCCTACTGCACGTCACTGTGTCCTCCACGGGCGGAGCGCAGCAGAGCCTTATGTGTACAGACACGTCTAACTCAGGCCACCCGGTCCGTGACAAAGGAGCTCCAGGAAAAGAAAGTAAAGGAGAGATGGCGGCGAATCCTCTGAACTCCCGGCGCAGCCGAGAGGCTGGCAGAACCTCGTTGGGAAAGCCTAACGTCTTGGTTTTTCTTGGCGTTTGTATCAAAATAGGGGTCACGGCCAAACCAGACACCAGAACTGAGCGGTCGGTTCCCGTGGATTGCAACAAGCACATTTCTCAAAAAAACAACACGAGTACAGGGCAAAACCAAATTAAGTATGCTAATCTGTTGTTGTTATGGTTATTGCTTTTGAATATTGTTTTCAATTTTTCTTTCTTTCAATTTATAAATAAGTCCATACATATCTATATACCATTATATTTTTGTCTTTTATTTGTTATTCTGGTTTTATATATGAATCCTTTTAGAGAACCTTTTTTCTTTTGAATAGCTTTCCTGAGAACATATTTGGGGGGAAAGAAGGGTAATCACAACTGGCTGGGTCTTCCTTATCAGCTACATATGCTTAGCTGGGGCTTTTTTGGGGGGGGACTTTGGCTCACTGTGGATGTCAATCATAATCAACCCAGAGGACTATTGTTATGTTGCAGGGACTCAGATTCTGTTATCAGGGAATTGGCATTATTCTCGTTGCAGCAGACTCATGCTGTCACCGCGGAAAGTAAAGTATCTTTGTGCCAAAGTTAGGAAAAGTCATCCTGAGAGCATGAGTGTAACTACTGGCAGGTAGACTCCAGCTGCCATCCAGTCATCCTCGCAGCGGCGCACACACGTTAACACACGAATGCACACACAAACATACATGTCATGCACACACCCCGTTCTCAATACCCCCCAGCTGTAGCAAACACATGACATCAAGCGCCCGGACAAGGGGCCTTATACTTGACCGAATATGTAGCACTTTCGTGATCCTCTATTACTTACTCTCTGGGAGCGGATATTTCCATTAGTGTGTCCAAACTGATGACGCCATGCACGACACCTACGATACAATCGACCTTACAGCACTCCCTGATGATGTCAGTAGAAGAATGCACACTTTCAGCACAGATTTAAAAAAAAAAACACATCCACACATGGTCAGCAGCGACGCACAGACGTACAGACATATGCAAGTCGAAAGCAGGAATCTTCATGGAAGACATTTTGAATTCACACTCAGGGCTTTTCAGTAAGGACCAAACTCTCGCCGCATTTAGGCTCGCTAGAAACAGGCAATATTTATGTGTGTATTCTTGACTCCGTTTTGATCAGCTCGACTCTGCGTGTACATAGAAGGAGACAAATCTGAGAAATCAGCATGTGTGCCGGCCCGGCTCTCTCATGGAGTGGGGGGGGCATTTCATCAGAGTCATCGGCGCTGCCCCCGCCTGTGCTCGTGCTGGCATCCAAGCAGCAAACTGCCTTCTCATCCTAAAAGCCATTATATCGTCTTGTCTCCTCGTGTACATCCTTGCCTCTCTTTAAGCAGTGGAGGATTATGTGTTCTCATGTATATTTTCTTTATTGCCAAATTGTCTTGGAGCGCGGCTGATATAAAGTACAGAAGGGGGGACGGGGGGGGACGGGGGTCTGTCTCTCTTTGAAGCAATATGAACATTCTTTCTGTAGCGGTGGGAGGTCCCATCCTCTGAATATGGTCTCCTCAGTTTTGTGTGTATGCGTGCATGTGTGAGACAGTGTGAGAATGCTTTAAAATGATTTAAGTCATTGAGTGAATGACCACACCCCCCCCCCCCCCTCTCTCGCTCTCTGCAGGGCTGTCATAATGTCAATGATGGAAATGCAGGCAGAATTTTGAGATTATGTCGTTTCATGTTTTTTGTTTTTCCAACATGGCCACGGTGTTGTCCACTCTCTGTTTATGTCAACTCTTGTCATACAAAGAAAAGCCATATAAACAGTAAGAGTAACAATAAACTACTTTTGTGAGATGACTCGACTTTTTTTTGTTTTGCAATGATCAGAAAATTCACCGGTACAAGGAAAACATAAGCGCACACAGTCGCCTTGTACTGTGAAGTCACAAGTTTGACTGAATTAACCATCCATTTAAAAAAGTTATCAGTAGAGGGAGCTCTTGCACTGCCGCTGCAGTGTTAACCCTACATGGACGAGGAGACCATGGTCTGCTAGGTCATGGAGCTCAGTGGAGGCAGAGGGTAATAAATCCACTGCCTTCTGCTGAACAAGGACATCAGATAAAGGTCTCCTCTGAAGATTTGTTCTCTGTGCAGTTGGAAAAAGTCAGACAATTGTGGCTTGGAGGTTAAAAGTAAATATGTCCGTTTTGATGTGTTTATTGAATTTAAGAAGGGTGGATAGCAGATGAAAGTAATTGTAAAGTTTTGAAAGATGTATGAACACATTTAATCAGATGAATCAGATTAATTGCATTTCAAGCAGAAATTGTGAAAAGGTGCCAATCATTCTCTGATTGCATCAAGCGGGATGCAAAATGCTTTGCACACATTTAAAGAAGACAATACGCAAACAATAAGACATACAAACTTCTACATCCCTATTTGGCTTTGCAAATTTGCAAATATCCACTTCTCCTCAAAGTTGTGATTGGTATTTTTCTCCTATTTCGGGGTGTTTAAGACTAAACCATCAATCAGAGAAACATGTGGCATATGGATTGATAAGGAAAATAAACGTAAGTTGCCGTCCCAGCGATCAGTCATTTCCATCAGTCATTTCCACTTTAGTTATTTCCGGGTGCTGCTTCAGCTGAACAGTCAGTAAATGGTCCAACATGGTCTCAGATTTTATTGGACTCATGCGATATTTGATCTTGAAGACGCATGGATCCCTATCTGGTTTGGTAATGACCCGTGAAATGTGAAAGGACATCGCGGCCTTAATCGCAACTCAAAGTCAACACATTTGTCAGAATACCTTTGAAACAAATGGATGAATAAAACATTCTTTTTTGGTTCGTTGTGCATGTGACCAAAAAACTTGAGTTATACTTCTGTCACAAACTTATAACCTGGAGTCCATCATTTTAACTGCTCTCTGGACGTCCTGATGAAGAACAGGAAACCTCTTTGAAAAGGGTTACCCTTAGTAAACACCTCTCATTATTCAGCATACCTGGGACACTAAGGTCTCACCTTCATTTTATTAATAAAGCAAGAGACAGAGATAGAGAGAGGGGGAGAGAATCAGAAGAGGGTGATAAACAGAGATGAGATCCTATCAATTATATGATTACTTTAATTAACTATCATTAAAGACAGATCAATAACACCAGACTGGAATTAAAATAAGGCTGATACATTACACACTATTTTACAGGGAACAATGAAATGGCCTCGTATACCAAGCTCCTGGAAGGTGTTGCCATGGTAACCTATGACAGGGTTCGGGTGTGCTCGGGGAATTTAAAAGAGCCGGCTAAGATTTCTATATACTCATCCTTCCACATCAGTGATACTGGATTAACTAATTACTTGAGTGAAAAAGGCTTATTGACTGGAAGTAGAAAAAAAGAGATGGAAATGTGTAAAAAATAAAGCCCTCGGGGGAAAAAAAGGTGTCACTGTACAATGAATTAACAAAGGGTGCAGATCTCCCCTGTAATATTCCTCCAGCCTCAATACATCATTTATTTATAAAATATAGTAAAGAATCCATAAAAGAAGGTCATGAGTGCGGCATACCAAAGAAATGAATATTGAATATTTAAGCACAGAGAGCACGTCCTCTGAACATAAGCAGAACGCTGGGATAACAGATGAGGAGAGCCGCTCCTCGCCGTGTGATCAGGAGAATGAAGCCCACTGAACCCAGGAGCTCCTGGCAGCGGGGAGGCCCCAAGGAGCCGAGCTCGGGCTGTGATAAACAGACACTCTGTCTGTTGACCCACGTGACCTGGGTTTCACGTGATACAAAAAAAATATACTTTGAGGTTGTTCTCTATACTTAAAGCCGTGCAGGCTAAAACCCACGTAGAGGTCTGCGCTGGACGCGGTGAGTAGGAAGGTTGGTTCACGATGTTAAACAGCACTTTGTTTAACAGTGCGTCTCCTGCCTGGTTCACAACAGACAAAAGGGACAAGTGCGCCGTTTGTTATGTGTGAAGCGAAGCCGCAGAGGGTTGGGCATCAGCCAAGGGAAGAGAAATGAGGTGACGGGAAGGTGAGAAACGTGTGCAAGTGTAACGACCATAAATTTAACACTTTCCACTGTGTGAGCAGAGAGAGAGAGAGAGAGAGAGAGAGAGACGGGGTAATGGAGAAAGTGAGGTAGAAACGGACAAAGGCGAGTTAGAATGGAGGGTGTACCAGCCGGGAGGAAGAAGGGATAAACATGTGCAGGTAGAGGAAGGGGTGATTTGGGGAAGGGTAGTGAGAGCCGGGGAAGGCGGGTGTCGGGGTCATAAAAAACTAGGAGATGTGTTCTGGCCTCTGGGTCTTCATATCTTTTACATTTCTAATTAAAAGAGATAAAGACTGAGGGAGTCATCAATCCCACAGTGATTTCCCAGTTAAGGTTTTAGAGGGGGCTGTAAACTAGGCAGCCCAGCATCATTGATTTTATAATTAGCTATCGTCGCCCCAGACTTGTGGTGGAGGGAGCTGGGGGCTTAAAAGAGTGAACGGGAGACGGCCTTAGGAGAGGGGAGGCACAAGGGTGAAGATTATGAGGAGGTCAGGCCTGAGGGTGCAGGAGAGCCGAAGGCGAGGGGAGAGAAAATCCTGCATGAAAAATGCATGTGAAACAGGCAACGAGCCAAAGGGGCATATAGGTTATACAGCTGTGTGAAAAGAAAAGTCATAGTTAATTACAAATGAACTGTCACGTGAGGAATGACGCGTGAAAATGTTGCGATGATCTTTGGCCAGAAAAAGAAGCATTAGATCCAATAGTAGATACATAAACGATTTTATTACTGAACCCCGGCCGAATCCCATTACATGAATGGTAAGACAAAACACGGCGGTGTACATGTGGGATAAACCTTCACACACAAAACCTCAAAACAAACCGTAACCACTGGAGCTTTATTGCAACCGGAGACGGCGTCCCGGCGAGGAGCAGAAGTACGGCAGCTCTCAGCGGAACCACAGACAAACACAACACCCCTAACACATCAAAATTGGATTACAACCACAAACAAGGACTATGGAGAATACATGTAGTGAACTATCTTATAAGAAAGAATAGCAGGCTCCACACAAGGAGAATCGACATGAACTGCAACCCCAGGACACCCGGCGACACGAGGCAAATGAGAGGTGACTCCTTCCATAATCCTGGTCCTCAAACGCAACAGGCCTTTCCCTTTCATTAGTACCGACGTCCTGCAAAATCATTTCTCATAAATCAAGTTTTAAAGTGAGTATTCGAAAGCAAAAGGTGTAGATAACACAATGGTAATGATTAAGATAATGATGAAGCGACATATTAGGTATCCATTCATCAGCCGTTCATCTAAAAACTCTTATGTAATAAAAAATATGGTGCAAATACAGCAGATAAAATCAAGCAAAGTTTTCTTAGCCAAGCATGGAAAGTTTTGTCTCACGGCTGCGTGAAAAACACCTCTTTCAAACTAAACCTGAATATAATTTAATTGCAGCATAACTCAAGTTAATTATGAATAGAAATCATGAAAAATGCATACAGTATTGATTAAAAGGCAGGCAGCTGTTTTTATTAGGCAGTAAATTGCCATAGGGCCCGGGGAAAATACCAACACTGTGTCACTGCATCTAAAAAGATGATTTTTTTTGAGGATGACTCTATTTTAAATTATTTTAGGCACAAATTTATAACAGCGTGAATGTGAGGTTTCTGTAAAATAAGAAATTGTAACAATAATATCCTAATTGCCAGCTTGTAAATCCATTAAGTATTAAAAGACTACAGCGGACCTATTGTGTAAAGCATGAGCGTTAACTATAACAATGATTATATGTAAGTACTGAAGTAGAAAGTTGCATCTGCCGTGTATTTAATAGACTTTAACGCAATCTGCTCAATAAGCTTTCTTTTTTTAAATGCTTCTCCTTCTTAGAGCATCTCTGAAACACTAAATCTATTTAACTGCATCTGCACGACAGCAATCAAGTGCTCCTGCATTCAAGAAAGTGCATATCAAATCTTACTTGTGAGTAAATGGAGGGGAAATATGATGTCGTAGACCCACATTACTGCAGTATAATTATGATGCTGTATCATTATTACTTCATGCTGCCGTGAATAGCGTTGAAAGTTGCTGTGGAGAAATTGATGTTGGAGAGTTCTGCCATGATTTCCAGTGGAGCTGGACCTGCAAAAACCATCATAATGTCATGAATCCTAATAACAAATGTTATTAAAAAAAAAAACGGCATAACATCCATCGTTAAGCTCTCGACACTGCAATGATTCAACCAAAATAATTCTGCTCCGGCTTGATAACTCTCAAACGCCAGAGGCCACGCCCAAGAGCGAGCTGTGTCCAACTGTGCAACAGTCTTATGTCCGTCAGTGTCGACCTGCCCCCACAAGACCGCGTGTCATTCCGAAACGACAAGACAGCCACAGTAATAATAACACGACAGTTAGAGGGGAAACCCAGGGTTCACGGCAGATATGATGTCAATTGCATATTACCAGTTTCCCTGTGTAGTGAGTGAGCTGCATATGTGCTTAGCGGAAGTATTATAGAACCACACAAAGGTCCTCATTTGTCCTCCTTTGTCCTCCTTCTGGCCACTCGCCATCCGCAGGTTACCATAGCGAGGTGTCCGCCACATCACTGCAGGGAGATGCAAAGCAGAGCAAGTGTGAACGACTGAAAGAAACACCCAGTCTGGGAGGAAAAGGAGGTTGGACTGAAGGAGCGGCCGAGTAGGAGAGAGAGAGAGAGAGCTTTAATGATGCTGAAAATTGGCCCGTGACTGAAGTACTCCCCTCAGGTAAATCACTGCGACAGATCGCTGTCAACTTATCTGTCCCCTTGTCCTCCCATCTTGCCCCTCCCAAGCCCCAACTTTGTCTCACAGTCTCCCCGACTCAACTTCTTTTACGACCACACATTCAAAACTTCCATCTTCCTGCCATTGTCAACTTGTCATCATAAATAACTGGTCGCATGTGTCCGTGTGCTTTAGCGAGCTATGAGTTTGTTTCTGTGTGTGAAGATTCAGTACTCAGGAAGTGTGAATTCCTACGTTTGTCCTTTCCTAGATATTCTAGGAATTTACTTAAATTTAACTAAATTTAAGATAAAACTATGAAACTTTTTACCCCACTGCATTCATCTGGCTGCTGTGTTCACTAATTACTTTGCAGAGTAAGGTTGTACACACAAATCAAGTCATGGGTTCATAAAAAAAATGATGCATTGCTGGAGTTTAAAACCAGCCAGCGTGGCAGGAAGAAATTTGTTGGCTTGTTTGACCTGAAATACATTTTCATTTTAGTATGCAGCCATCAATGCAAAGCTACATTTAACAGTAACTGTGCTCAATTTGTTGTCTCATAGTCACTTGCTAAACCCTTCATTAATGTAAACCAAACATGGAATATCTTTCACGAGAAGGCAAGTAGCATGTCCATGTATCCAATCAGAATGCAGGAGTTTTATGAAATAGTTACATGTGTAACAGTGTGACACAACTGGCAGAGTTGGAGAAGGTTCTCAGAATACCACTTTTTTCAACAATATGAAACAACAAGTAAAATCGGAGACGAGTTCTAAAGTAGCATACGAAGCAAATGCAAAATTAAAAAATATCTCACAACTGTGTATATATACACACTTGGCTGGGTCAATGTGTGCGTCTGTGCACGCTCTGTGTGTGTCTGTGTGTACTCTAGGTATGAACACGTGAAGGGGAGGTTGTACCTGAGAACAGTGTCCGTGTGTTCAGGCAGCAAAAGTGCCGTTTCCTCCCCAGAGCCGTGTCTTCCACACTTGAGTGTGTCAGATTCCTCCTCCTTAACACCAGAAACAACACACACACACACACACACACAGCAGCCATTACAGACAAATAACTTGCAGAGGAGCGGCATAATTGCTCCTCAAAGATAATATCGGCATCAAGCGATCCGTTGGCCGCGTTAAACCGGTGTGCACGGCGGACAGCAGGAAGGCACTGCTCATTTATCTATTAGGTATGCCGGCGATGCTGAACGGCGACGGGTGTGACGCGTCTCACCGAATCAGAGCTGTGCGCCTGCCGGTCGGCGTCGGCCTGGCGCGGCGAGGAGAGCGGGGCCGGCTGGTTGATGACCACTGTGCTCCTCTCCACCTCCCTGGGGGAGGGGGGAGGGGTGGCCAGGAGTAAGGAGTCGGGCTGGCCCTGCTCGCACAGACTGTAGTGTCCCAGAGGCCTCGGCGGGCGGAGGGGCTGCAAAGCCTCCGGGTTCTCGTCCTCGGAGTCCGATAACACGCTCGCAGGCAGATCTGCCGGATGGACGGAAGAGAAAAAGCGGTCACTTCTTTTTTTTTTTTTTTTTTTTTTTGTCGCCCCCCCCCCCCCCCCACAACATGTGGTGTCCTGAGCCATATTTAGTGTCGCTGTTATAAGATAGTTAACTCTTTTATTGTTCACATCTGCGGGGCACACAGGTGATGAATGCGGGGCTCCAGTCACCTGTATAGGCAATCGGGGCAGCGCTCCACTTGGCACCGACCGCTGTTCCCATCTTCTGCTCCAGCTGACAGATGTACTCCATCAACTCCTGTAGTGAAAATACAGCCATCGTATCACACGGTGGCTTCAGCAGCCACCCCATCCCCCCACCCCCCCGTCATAACTCTCCTGGTCTGACTTCTTCAGGCTAAAGCTACATAAAATACATTCACACACAAACAGACAACTTTGCTTTTACATAAATATCATTATCACCGTTCAATAAACATTTGGACATTTGCCAGATTGACGACGTGTCACAGATTGGATGCGATGCTCCTATACGGCAGATGTTAAAATTAAGCCGGACACTGATTTTAAAAACATTGACTACTACTGTGGCAGAAGCAAACAATCGCAACGGTGGTTAGCCAACAAAAACACTTTAACAGCAGCAGCACTGACTCCTGTGAAATAATACTGATTTATATTGAACTATAAACAATTTATATTGCACAATAACAGCTGGGAAGACAACAACAAATAGAAGATTCCTAACACTTGGGACAACCTCTACCCCTGTATACGTGTGAATATGTTCCATCAGTAAGCTTTAGCATGTGAATACATTATCAATGCACAGCTTTAAAAACAAATAAATAGGTGCACTCGAGCTATAAAGGGGTACAAATTGTAACCAAATGTCTACTTAATCTAAGGCTGATAGTGACTGAATTACAGCAGTTGTTAGGAGATTAAGGAAAAGACATATACATTTAAATTGTTATTACCATTCATTAGCCTCGAGATCAGCTGATAAGTTCATATAGTCAGGACCTGAGACACCACACATGTTTATCAAGAATGTAGATTCTTTCTGTTTAGAGACTTTCTGTCAGCGCTGATTTGAGCTGATTGCTCATCGTGCGTCTCTTACCTGTTTCTCTGCAAGCTGCTGCTCCTTCTCTTTCTGGGCGACCCTCAAGCTGGCTTTCAGCTCCTGCAGCTCCCTGCAGGTTTCACTCAGCTGAACCTGCCAGCCAGATATCAGAAGCAACTTGTTAGAAGCAACTAACAGTTACTGTGATTTCAGAATGGCCATGTGTAGTATATAAAGTACAGTTCTGTGATGTTAAAGGGGTAGCAGGAACTTTTTTCTTGAAAAAGAAAAGATAGATGATTGCTGTACCCTCTTTTCTGTGTGGTAAATGTAGTTTTGTCTACCGCAAACAAACTTATGTGTACTCGCAAAATGAACCTGAAGCGGGAAACACTGAATGAGTTCTTTGTAGTATTTCTCACCCGGTTGCAGTCCCTTTCCCTCCCAAGCTCAACCTCCAGCTTCACTCTCTCCATCCGCTCTTCTTGCAGCCTCTCTTCCGTCCTCTGCATCTCCGTGCTGAGTTTCTCAAGACGCTCGTGGTCCTTCTGTCACACACACACACACACACACATACGTCAGAATGAAACACGTTCACCTTAAAGTTATTAGACCTTGTGTAAAAAACAGACATCAAGACATCTGATTCTACGTTCTGCAGGGATACCTCAGCAGTGCGCTGCAGGTTCTGCCTCTCCTGGGCCCAGCGGGCTCGTCCCTCTCTCATGGCCAGACTGGAATCAGCGAGCTGAAGCGTGAGCTGGGCGGCCTGCAGACGAGCCTGATGCATCTCGGCCTGACCGTGATCCCTCTGGGCCACCATGGCGCTCAGATCACTCTTCAGGGCCTCTGCGGCACGCTCGCTCAGGTTCAGACGCTCCCGCAGGCTCCGCATCTCCTTCAGCGTGGCCTCGTTCTGCGCCTGGTTATAAAGGGACAGTGAAGCGTGCGTTTGAATACTGAAATCTGTTTATCAGTCTATTCATTAAACGTTTTTAAATGTGGTGAAAGTGAAATAGCCCAAATCCCAAAGGATAATCAAAAAACACAGCCCAACTCCAGTGGTTTTGACCGTGTGTGTGCATCAGGTCCTGCAAATACTTCTAACATTTGCCTGATCTTCCTTTAACTAAGAATCCAAACATTATTCTCAGCCACGCTCTCCAACCCGCCTCCTCTGATTTCCAAAGCGATGTCTGACCTCCTTCCTGTGGGCAGCGGTGAGTTTCTGGGTGAGGGTGGTGATGCTGTTTTGCAGCTGCAGGACACTGGTGTCTCTCTGGGCCAGTGAATTCCTTAAGACCTGAAACTCCTTAGACAGACTTCGGAGTTCACCTTCTGTCTGTTCCAGCTTTGACTAGGAGAGAGAGAGACCAGACACAAGACGGAGAAAGAGAGTGAGGTGTGTGAGAGAATAACCACCGAGACACAGACTTTACGGAGATATATTGCTCGGTCTGAATTAGAATTACCTGCAGGCTCTTTCTGTCACCCTCCTCTTCCTTCCTCTGAGCTCCCGCCCTCTTCGCTCTTTCTTTCATCCTGCACACAAAGGTTTAGCTACTGATGATCAAAAGTATTTATGAGACCCACATAAAACTAAATCAGAGAGAAGGGAAAATAAAAATACTAAATGTCACACCTTTCCAACTCAGTCTCTTTCTCCACACTTCTCTGAGCCAAGGTTTTGATATCCTCCTCCAGCTCTTTGATTCGCACTTTGCTCGCCTCGCTCGCATCCAATAAAGCACTTTTCTCCTGGGCCAGTGATTCCCCAAAAGCCTGCACCTCCTAACAGACCAGAGGCATTTCCCATCTTTATATGAATGTTTAATTCATCGTGACATACTGCAGGTTACCAATATGAAAATGCATTACATTTAAAACTGTAATTTAACAACCAAGACATTTTATTGAATGGTAATTTTGCGTCGAAAAGAACATAATGCTGTTTGAGCGTAGATGTGCTTTTCATTAACAAATAAATATTGCCTGTCATTTTCCAAGCTCAATACGCCACCTTCTGCTCCATCTCCATCCCCTCGACCTTCTCTCGACTCTGCTTCAGCTCTTCCTGCAGCCTGGCGACGTCCCTCTCCAGCGCCCTGTGCCTTCTGTCCCAGGCCTCCCTCGCCCTCTTGTGCTCCTCCTGATCTTTCTCCCTCCGCCTGTTCGCCACCTCCTGCGCCTGCAGCAGCTCGGCGCGCTCTCGCAGACATTCCTGCAGTCGGCCCTGATAGACACGCGGGGGGTGATGGAGGGAGCACGTTGGGAATCGTCGTTATGTCTTTGTGTGTCAGCATTAAACATCAGTATTGATTTCCCCGCTGATGTGTTTTATCAGCACTCATTCATTTACGTAACTGATGACATACTCTCCGTCACTAGCCCATGAGGTAAATATACTCGGTTTTGTTATGTTCACCTGCAGCAGTTCAGCTCTAGGCACTACCAGCAACATGCCCGTGCTTCCTTCCTCCCCATGGGGCTCCTCCTCAAGGGTCACCAGATCCTCGAGGGGCTTGGGAGCGCAGAAAGTGAACGCGGAGCTGCAGCAGACCACTTCCCCCTTCGCATCAATATATGCAAACTCATAGTCCTGGGAGCTGGGTTTGGGAAGGTAGGAGGCTGAAAGACAGGGGGGGGGGGGGTTTAGTGAAGAATATTTGTGATTCAAAGTAACCTGATTTTCAGCTGGCTTCCCAGCATGCTGTTTTGAAAAAAGAACATCATGGAAGCTAAATGCACTATCGATGATTAGATCATTTAACTACCTCGGAATTAATAAGATTTAATAACCTTTTAAAAATATTACTCTAAATCTAAACCGTTTTTTGGAACTCATACAACAGAGTTCACACATTGTTATGGCTTTAATTTTGTAATGCATACATTACATATTATAATTCAACGTGCATTTTTATAGTTTTTTAGTTGTATTGCAGCAACGTTGATTCATGAGTGTTGCAGTACAGCTTTACGCCACCAGCGGGCAGCAGCCAGGTGAGGGAAATGGCGCTGCGCTAGTTGGCGCTATCCTTCATCCCGATGTTTCTTCGCAAAGAGGTGAGGTCATTTCTACTTTACACCGGGCCGGAACAGACTTTTCCAAACCAGACATATCGTCCATAAGTCCAGCTGACCTCGAGTGAGTCCCTGTTTTCATTAGTATTCTGTAAAGTGCGTGATGAGCGCTGAATACCAACGATAGCGCACCAGCGGCCACGTAGCAGGACAAGCTAACTGGGAAGCGGTGTTCATAGAGTACTGAGAACATGTCACATGTGCTTATTTCCCGTCGTACTTTGTTTAGCTCGAACGTCCACTTTTCTGTCAGCTCCGTTCAGTTCACCCGGTTCATATTTAGCACGGTGTCGTCGTTGAAACCGGTTACCGTTAGCTTAGTCATTAATTACACTTAGCTTAGCTAACTAGCGTTAGCTTGTGTGTTTGCTCTGCATTGACATGTCAAAGTGGCGTCTGTGAGGAGTGGCAATAATCTCATTCATTTGCCATCAAACTAGTTGATATTTAAACAATTTAATTGTAACGTGACGCCTACACGTGTTAAATATAAAAGTTACCTGTTAAGCAAATAAAAGGAAGCATCCTGTCCGGTAATGGTGCTACAAAGTTAACTTGCATGCTCTCTGTGCACATTAACCTCCCAAATTATTATTATTTAGAGACAAATCATGAATTATTATTTCCCAGTGGGTATATGTTTACCAGTATTGGTTTGCTACTAAATAAATAACCATAATTATATTTGTTCATATCCTACCATATTTGTATTTGTCATTTTCTATCCCTAAACACATCGGACAGGAACCGATGAAGCTACCGGTTCCTACCGGTGAGCAGCGAAGTACAGCCGAGGTCTTCTTCCAGCCCGTAAAATGACATCACCTAATATTATCCTCACCTTGCACAGACTACAGCTTCATGTTTAGAATGATTTACTTTTCTGTTCCACAGCAGGTGAACTGTAATGTGGAAAACTGACCAGAAGGAACAGCAAAGTTTATGAGCTGTATTGTAACTTACAGCCCCGGCTTAGGTCACAGTGAGTGCAGGCCACCTTCTTTTTAAATCACCGCAATGATGATGAAGACAAGGAAGCATCAGCGGTTTCTTTAGACCTTCCTCCCTGAGCTCTTTGTCAAATGAAGAATGACATCGTCAGCATGCCAAAGCTAGTGATAAATCACTAGAGGTCATTGCCACACCTGCTGCATACTTGCCCCTCGCACTGAACCAGGCGCATTGTATTTTTGACCAGTAGTAATCAGAGCAGGCTTTGACAAAATCATTGTCTTCCGTCCTCATTACTCAAACCCCTGCATCCTTAAAAGATGAATTGAAACCATGAAAGAGCTTGTGTCAGAGACAAGTAGAGAATAACATTTTCTTGTGTTTCGGATATTATCCCTTTTAAATCTGTGATAATACTCTTTTAAATTAGAAATGTCTTTTGTTTTGCTCCATTTTAAAACACCGGTTGCCAGCCCTGTGTGTACGGGAGAGCAATTCAATCTACAGACACATCAATCTCCTGCCGAAGGTTTTATGCGCTGATCTAAGCACCGTATCAGTATAGATTCAGGCTTACTGTGGGAAATAAAATACAATTAGAAAACAAGGGCATGAGTACCCTGGAAGTGCACACAGCAGTTGACATCTGTGCCCTCTTGATAGTCAGTCGGCACCAGAGCCCAGACGAACGTGTGGTACTCCTTGACTGACGACCATCCAACCTGAGGGAGAAAACACGCTGTTATTTTGTAGTTGATGCATAAACTTTTTATTCGCTGTGACAGTTATCAGGTTTAACAATACCTTGAAGAGCCCTATCCAGTCATTGCTGGCCCAGTTGTGGTGTGTGTTAAGTGTGTAGTGGCAATCCACTCTGCTCTGAGGGAAGTAACTGCTGCCCACGTTTCTGAACTCCACCCGCCAAGGCTTTTCCATGGCAACACAAAGGAAAGGAGGCGGTTTTCCACCTACTGGGGGAAAAAAACACAATGTTCAAACTCAAGTTGGTGTTTTTCTAGATCAATTCAATACAATGTTAGGAGAAAACTGGCATTCAAGGATAGAGTAAATAATAGTGAAATGGGTGGGAGGTGACCGCTGGAGAACAAAAAAAAGACAGCGAGGAGGCGGTGGATATTTATCCAGGGTAAGATGATATCCCGACTGAGCCCCCATTTGACGAGAGGACACAGGAACTAAAGCTCAGTCGCAGCATGGCCTTTGAGCCACATTACATATTTCACTGGGGCTATTTCAGTCATTGCTTTCATTTGCTATTGTACACGATTGCGTGTGGACATGCAGAACAAGCTGTATGGGATCTCCAGTGTGTACAGGGTTCAAATTATACCTCCATGGAGACATGTGTGGCTTACAGGGAGCATTATTTATTCATTTTGGAAATGTTAGGTATACGGTCCCAGAAGTTCTAATGTGACATATGCGAGGGAAAAATGCTTTAAGTTGTAGATTTTGGGTTAAATGTGACTTTCCCATACTTTATATTTATCTCCCGTGTAAGTCATGATCAAATACAAGTATATGGCTTTCAGGTTTTCTATTTCAGTAAAGCATCTCGCTGAACTTCGAACAAACTTTTATGTAAATATTGCAGAGTATTTAGCAGATTCCCCCCCTCCCCCCTTAAAAAAAATAACCATGACATAAATATGCAGTATCCTCCAGGAGGGCTCACGTTACACAGCGAGACGCTCGAGGCCCAACATTAGCACATGTCAGAAAACTTTGTGTCTTAACCGTCGACGCAAGCTTAGCAAGACAAACGTGTTAGACAATCCGCAGACTATAATTTGGACACGTAGCCTACTGGGTAATTATCATTGTGCATATTACGCCTGCATGTCGGGCGAGACAATAACAGGCTTTGTTAACTACAAAATACATCTGCGCACATCGCGTCTCGGCCGTCCAGCGCATCTCGCTTACCTTTTTTTTTTTTTATATCCCCGACTTCTCCGTGAGATGTATAAGCGAGCTGCCCCTCTATCAGACACGGTTGTCACAATGCGTGGAGAAAACCACAAACCACGAGACGCGCTTTCCTCCTCGCACTCGGTTGATCCAAGGACCCGAAACAATAACAACAAAAAAAAAAAAGCAAAACACAAGCGTGACAGTTTGACTTCCACCGCGGGGCATCATGGGAGCTGCGGTTCCCCGCTTCCACGATGGCGCGCTGGAGCTGCTCTCCGTGAACTACAACCCCCCAAAGCCTCAGCGCGGAGGCGGCCGGAGCTCGCGCTGCACGCGACGCGGTGCCCCTCATCGGCTTCCGTTGTTTTTCTCATCGGACGACGAAAGCCCAGATGCGTGACGACGGCTAGCGGCCGATGCTGGAGACGCGCGCAGCGACAGAGAACAAGTTGACCCGTGATCAGCTCATTCTGGGATAGGCTAGAATATGTTCTCTAGAATATGCTGCTGGCGACGTTTATATTAATCCCCTTGCAGCTGGATAGGGAGGGTACAAATATCGTAGGCTATATGAATGATGTGTTTACTGGCAGCAAAATGCGGTAGGTTTTCTGAGAAATGCAAATGGACTCTTTGTTTCATCAGTTGGATTGATGTTCCAGATAAGGCGGTTCCAATTAAACAGGTACACTGAGTTCTCTGTATGATTGGACAAATGCCATTTTATTCCATGTTAAGGATTTTATGTGGATTTTTTTTTTTTTTTCAACCACATTAATCTTATTTTTTTAAACGTCCCGTATGTTTCCAATTATTCTGAGTGATCCCTCCCTTCCTCCTTATTGTGTAAACATAGGGTGGTACAAGTTAAACAGCATGATGAAGTTTCGTTGCCAGACAGCAGATGGCAGTATGCCATCTTCAAAACTAAGCGCATAATGCATTACCGCTGTCACATACAGACCCAATTCTGGAACATTTTTAACACGAGGTGATGTTCTTCAGCCTCTCAATTCCGCCCCGTGGCCTTCGGATGTTATTTCGGCGTACATTTTAGGTCTTTAAAAAAATGTATTTCTAGATCTATATTTTCCTAAATTATTTATTTTTTTAAAAGTATATACTTAATTAGCTTCAAGATTAAATACTATATTTAAAACTGACGGTTTACTTCTCAACTTAACATTAAATAGTCCTGGTGAAATAAAGTTTGTATAAAAATTACAAAGAACAGCAAAGTGTTTATGTCTGAGTGTTACTGTTTACTATAAAGAGTGTAAATGCCATGTGATTTGATAAATTGTTGGTCTGCACCAAAATGCCTAATTGTGTGTTTCCAAATAAAAAACATGTTAAAATATTGTCTTTGGATTTGGCCTCAATCTGAATACATTTAAATTGAATTGCCATTAAAATAGCTATTAAGGGAGTTAAAACGAATCCATGCCGCCGCTCAATAGCAGACATTAAAGTAGAAACTTGGATCATAGCAGTGGAAATTAGTATTTAAGGTTATTGTGCCTCCGTTACCGTTGCTTAATGTTCATCCTGTATTATTATAGTTATTGATGTTCTTCCCATTGCCTGCTTATTTATCTCTGCTCATTGACGAGTCAGTACTTTACTCTCCTCAATTAGTAAGGCCAGTTTGGCTAATTTAGTCCGTTGAAGACACTATAAGGACGATTCATGTAATTTTATGCCGATGGACAGTCGATGTTGGTACCCTATAAATTGTGTTAAAGTGGATTAATAGTGTGCTGGGCCTTTGTGAGCAAAGTGGTGCTGGAAGTAGTGTCTCTTTATGCTGTAGTTTAATTAGGTTGCACTGCATTGAAAAGCCTCTCCAGTAGTTATTGTTTACATGTGTGTTTTAAGCTAAGATGTTTTGGAATTAAAATAATTACAAAATGCTTTGAATTAGATTACGTTGCAACCGTAGGTATGTCTTGCTTGTGCTTTGTTATTTTCATAATTTTTTTGTTTGTTAAATATTTTAGAATTAACTAGTATAAAAAGCCATGTGCATGAATAAAAATCACTAACCACACTAATCATATCCTTTGACCCACACTGGCTTTATAGCTGTTTTGCCAATATTTTTGTTGTTGTTATTTATCGGCTGTCAGCGAAAACTAAGGCAGTCCTCAGTTAGCCTTGACTTTGAAGCGTTCCTGTTAGAAGTTAGAAGATGGCTGTGGAGTCGGAATGTGAGGCTTCACCCTAATAGAGACTAGACTGCGAGGTGGATTGGCCATGAAACTGCTTGATCTTGACCTGGCTGCCTGCTGTTATGGCTCCTCTGTCTGTCATATCCCCCCCCCTTCAACCTCCATACATGCACACACATACACACTCGTAAATATGCACACATGCATATCCTAGTTGTTGTTTTTTTTTTTACTTTTGGAAGCGTGAACTGGACTGATATAGAACCTTTCTATGCATTAGGTAGAAAAACTCCCCACAGAAGGATCTTAACTGTTTAATCTGTTGCAGTCTTCGACACAAATTGTATCCTTGTCATCTGCTTATTTCTAGCAGCCTGGCTGAGAATTCCACAATATAAGAAAATGGCATCGCCCTCCAGTGCCACTGTGGTTTTATTACCTGAGGTGGCCTGCCTGAATATAGCTTACCACATGTCTTATTCAAAGGGAATGGCAGGTATGTGTCACCGGTCATAAATCGTGACTTGCCTTTGGCAGTAATCCGTTGCCAAGGCAACCTCAAATGGTATTATGACCTTCTGTTGTGTATAGACAAGTAAACTGTTAAAGATGTCAACATCCAAGAGACAAACATTAAAGATTTATGTCGGTAAACAATTTATTTTCTCATCACACTAAATTAAACTGATGTGTCCTGTGTGTTAGGAGGGCTTTTAGAAATATACAGTTTTGAATGCAATCTGAGCATTTGTCAATTAAATGACGTGTACCACTGTGGGACGAGAGATGTTTTATCAGGGAGGTGCGACCACGTAGTCAAGGAAAGGCATGCGAAGGTAGGAAACAAAGAAAGAGGGAGCGGTGGCAGGCTGCTTGGAAGGAGGGCAGAGCGTTGGGAGGGCGGAGATGGAGAAATGGGGGACGGTGGTATTTAGTATGCACGGCCGAGCTGCCCCATCTGCTTAGCGCAGCAGTCCCTGTCGTATAACTGTCTACAGGCCGTGGGCCACATAAAGAATGTCTCAGATTTGATGTAATTCCGCAAAATTAATGACAGCTTTACTCGGTATGGGCCGTGAGGGAATGATTAGTGTTTGATCGTCCATCTGATCAGTTCCCTTGACTGTTTACAGGAGAGATGCTCCACTATATGGCCGCTGCCTGTGGCAAGAGATAGATATACCTACCCCAAAATCATCCCAAGGCCCCCGAGCTCTAGTTCAGGTTTGAGTTCAGATTCCTGTTCCCCTCAACACGGACAACCAATATGTTGTTAAACCCTCTGTGCTGTGACAGTTCACATCAACATGAACAGCTACTGATGGGCTGGATGCAGGTGTGACGGTGTACAGGGCACTTTTTATTTCAGGCTGTGCAGTATTTCAAAGGAAAGTGGGCCAACCAGCATCCAATTTAGAGAACTCAGAGGTCACAGTTTGACCTTTTACAAGATCTGCTTTACTGCGGCTGTGATTGGAATTGGGTATTCGTTTTTAAAAGAGATGGGGAATGGATTGGGAATTTGAGTGAAGAAATTGATCCACTGGATGAATTGTAGTAGTTGGACAAGTGGAATTCCTAGCCTCCTTTTTTTTTTAATTCAGCCCCACCCCAGCCGGCCCAACCCCCCATTTCTTTCCCCCTCTTGGGTTGCCGCGTTTTACAAGCGAAGGGGGCATTCTGTTTTACAAGTGAGGCTGGTGCTTCTCGGTGTGCTAGCCACATTAAAATTGAACCCGTCTTATCTGTGCAAAGCGTGAGGCTTTACATCAGAGGCTGTCGCGCTGCTACCAGGAGGCTCCTCTGTGCTTTTATGTAATGTGGTGCAGTCAAACACCCGGAGGACAATTAAAGTAGCTTATAGATAAACAAGTGATTGAAGAGAGGGATGTGTGTTTGTGGAATGTAAGGTAGATTTGTTGGAAGGCGGTTAACTTTGATAACAAGGCCAACGTTCTTCTGCCAAATCAAGTGTCGCCGTCGCTTTACGAACAGACCGATCTGGAAAGGGGAAATGTTGTTTTCAAAGTCGTACCTATTTTGTGCTGAGTTGCATATGGCAACGCTAATGTCCCATCTGACCATTAGTACTCTGGTCCAGTACCAAGCACAGGCAGCCTAATTCAGCAAAGGCTCGGGGAGGGTTGTTTCTGCCAACACAGATTGTCGGACAGATTGACAATCCTTCACCGTCTACGGATGCCGGGTTTTTCCCTGAAATTGTTGGTCATTATAACAAATTACATGCAAAAACACATTAAAGTAAACAAAAAACTTCTTGCATTGGTTTTGATGCCAGGCCTGTGCGCATCTTGGTTAATTATCCTCTTTCAGCGAGTATTTATCCATTTTTGTGACCTTTTCCATTACGCCGTCTCCTCAAATGTCCTCTCCTTCCTAATCGGCATCCTCTGATCTCCTTCATACGGCTTCTTCCTTGGCCCACTTCTCCTCCCCCACTGCTTTCTTCCTCCTCCACATTTTATATTTTTGGCGGAGCTGAGGACCTTTCTTAGCGCGGTGACCTTTCTGGTTTTAAATTAAGCCCCACTGCGGCAAGTCTCTCTTCATAGACCGCTCGTTACGAGCCTTTGGAGAACCGCAAAAAAAAATAACGATTCTGATGGAATGGCCCCTTTTTAAAAAGCTCTTCCAAATTCCTTTTACATTTTTCTTTTCTCCTCCCCATTCTGGTTGTATTAATAGTCCCGCTAATGAGGAACATCCTAAAGAGCAGACCATGGGAAATATGACACATGCACACGCCTCCCCGCATGCACACCGCGTGCGCACTCCTTCTCACTGGTAATGGGTTCTAATCAAATGCCATGTATGTTTGAAGTGATTTATGAAAACGGGGCAGCGTATGCTTGCAATATGATTTCCTAACCAGAAAGAGACCACTTTTCAATGGATAACCCGGGTGTCTGGCTTTTTAGAGGAGACAATGCTCCACATTATGTGATTAATAAGCTTCCCTTCAATTCTGTTCAGATGATGAAGATTATTTTTAACTGCAACAACACCATG